ACTTTTGTTTTTTTTACTTTCAAACAGCTCAGTTTGCTGTTCTTTTTCTAAGTTCTTGACATAGATGCTTAGCTCATTAACTTTTACCAGAACCTTCTCTAAAATATGTACTTAAGGCTTTAAAAATTTTCCTCTAAAAACTGCTTTAACCACTTCCTACAAATTTTGATATGTAATATATATTTTTTAATTAATTAATTTTTTTTTGTGTGTGAGGAAGATTGGCCCTGAGCTAACATCTGTTGCCAATCCTCCTCTCTTTGCTTGAGGAATATTGTCACGGAGCTAACATCTGTGCCCATCTTCCTCCACTTTGTATATGGGACGCCACCACAGTACGGCTTGATGAGCAGTGTGTAGGCCTGCGCCCAAAATCTGCACCAGTGAACCCCGTGCCACTGAAGTGGAGCACGAAAGCTTAACCACTACACCACTGGGCTGGCCCGATGTGTAATACTTTTATCATTCAAAGTATTCAAAGTTCAAAGTATTTCCTCATTTTCATTACGATTTCTTTATTAACATGTAAACATACATTCAAAAGTGTGTTTCTTAAAATTTCCAAACATAATTTTCTCTTTATCTTATTATTTTCTAGTTTAATTGTATTGTGTTCAGGAACATGCTCTGTATGATTTTATCCTTTGAAATTTGTTGCGATTTGCTTTATGATCCTGTATAGATAGTTCAATTTTTATAAATATTCCATATGGCTTGAAAAAATATTTATTTTGCAATTACTAAGTACATTGTCTATATATCTTATGCATATTTTCAAATCTATATTCTCATTAGTTTTGTGTGATTATTCCATCAATGACTAACAGAGGTATGTTAAATCTTCCACAACTGTAGATTTGTCTTTTCCTCTTTGTAGATTGCCTATTTTTTCTTTATATATTTTTGAGGCCTTATTATTAGGTACAAACACATTTAAAATAATATCTTATTAATGAGAATTTAATCTTTCATCATTATAAAGTAATCCTATTATCTATAATAATGCTTTTAGTCTTAAAGTTGATATCTATAATTAGCTATACCCCTTTTTTTGTTAGTATTTGATTGGGAAATACTAGATGTTTATCTATCTTTACCATATATTTACCATTTTCTCTGCTCTTATATCTCAGACCTTCTATCAAGGATTTCTTTGATCATGCCTAAAATATATCCTTTAAAATTTGTTTCAGTAACAGTCTACTGATAACAAATTTTCTGTTTTCATTGCCTGACACTTGTTTGAACTTGTTACCTTATTCCACCTCCTTTCTTAAGAGATATTGTTCCTAAGTATAGAATTCTGCATCGGTATACATCTTTTTACTATGTCTGGCTTCTAATGTTGTTACTGAGAATTCAGCTGTCAGTCTATCTGGTAAGTGTAATAAATATAATATCTCTTAAATACAATCTAACTTTTTTGGTCTACTTTTAACAATTTTCTTTTTGTCTTAGATGTTCTGCAATTTCACCATAATGTGACTAGGGGTAGATTTATTTATCCTTCTTAAGATTTTTTGGGATTCTTGATTCTGTAGTCTGCTGTACTCCATCAATTCTGAAAAAATCTCAGCCATTATATCTTCATATATCACTGCTTCCCTATTCTGTCTTTTCCTAGAATTAAGACATATATGGGAACTTCTCATTCTGTCCTTTATGACTCTTACCTTGTTTTTCCTATTTTCCTATCTCTGTCTCTCTGGGTTGCATTTAGTATAATTTTCCCTTATCTTCCAATTCATTAATTCTTCCTTCAACTCTATTTACTTTGCTGTTAAACCCATCCTTTGAATTTGAATTCTATTACTCTATTTTTTTTCATTTTTAGAAGTTCCATTTGGTTCTTCTTAAAATCTGTTGGTTATATTTTATTCAATCAGTGCAGATAATTTCAAGTTTGTCTATTTTTTCTTTAAACTTGACAAATAGTCATTTTATAATCTGTATCAGATAGCTCTAGTAATTAAAGTCCTTATGGGTCAGTTTCTTCTTCCTTTTGTTTTTGGTAATTCTCACTCATGTTGCTGTCTTCTTGGTAAATTATTTGGGAGACTTCTGTAGTGCTAGGATGAATGTATTTTCCTCCAAAATATTTATATTTGCTTCAGCTTGGTGCCTATGGATATCAGCAGCAGTTCCACTTTAAACTCAATTACGGCTTGAGATTTATGAGGCTACCCAATAATGTGAATTTGAGCTGTAAATCAATGCAAGACAGCTTGTGGTTACTACTTCTCAGAGACAATCCTTCATTCCCCCAATTCCTAGTCAAGGCAACTGTGTTAAACTCCTAAAGATGGTAGGGATGGTAGAGGGTTTGCTTTTAGTTCATCATCATATGGTCAAGACGTAATTCATACTAGGGGAGATCTGCTATTAAACTCTTTGGGGGTCCTAGGCTTTGTTTCTTCTTAGAGGTCTGAAAACCACATCTTATATTACCCTGGCTAGGCAAGTGTCCTCAAAGCCAAAAAGCCTTTTATGCTATGTTCTGCTTACCTCTATGGGCTCCTATCTTCACTTAGATTTTGAGCTGTTAATATACTATCTAGTTACGCTCTTTAAAGCTTTCAAGAAGATTTATTTATTTTTAAATCTAGCATCATTAGTTATTTTCAGTAAGAAAGTTAGTCCAAATAACCTATCCCAACATTTTTCAGAAACAGAACCTCTTCATTGATTTTTCATCTTTCTTTTTCCCTCCATCTACTTCATTCTCCTTGCCTCCCCCTTTTCCAGACAAATCATTTCCTTCTTGCTCCCATATTAAGATTTTGGATCTACTACACCAGTGGATCAATTCTGGCCACAGACAGGAAATATGTAAGAAACTCTTGCTCCCAAAAGTCTTGAGCTCAGAATTAAAGTCTAATAGATTAATACCCCTGCCATTAACTAGCTGTGATAATAAATAAGCTAACTTCTCTGGGTTCTACTTTCCAGAAAGATGGGAGTTATGTCAGTCCTTCCCTATCAGTTACCTTCCACAGAGAATTAACCAAATTTTATATATTCTACCTCCTACATTTCTGTCAAACTCTCCCTTTTATTCCCATCCCAAGAGCAATTTCTTTAGTTCAAAAACCCTCATCATTGTTTGAATTCTTATAGTCTCCTTACTGAAGGCACTATCTCCTGCCTCTAGATTCCTTCCCTCTAAAATTCTTTTTCCATATTCCTACCAGACTTAATTCTAAAGTACATATCAATGATATTCTTCTCACAGCTTCCAGGATAAAGTTCAAATTCCTTGACTTAGCATGCAAAGCCCTTCATATTCTTTCCCTTGTTTACCTCTCTGATCTCATTTTCTGCAAACACCGGTTGCTCAAACCTCTGTGGCTTCATGCACATTGCTTCTTCTACTTGAAGCACCTTCTATTCCCTCTCCTTTGCCTAATTAACCTCTACTAGTCCATTATAACTCAAGACAAGCACTATTTCACTCAGAACTTCTTCTAGGACTTCTCTTCCTTTCTCTGATTTGGATGTTCCTCCTTGATGCTTCCATACAACTAAATTTACACCTACGCCAAATTATAATGTATTGTGACTTCTCTCTCTCACCCATTAAGCCATAAGCACTTTTCATGCAGAGACAGTCTCATTTAAGTTTGCAACCCCATTCCTGCAGAGTTTGCTGAACGGACAAATGAACAACGTTATAAAATGAGGGGGCTGATTACATGATATCAGAAGTCCTTTGTTAGCTACAAAATTTGCCCTGTTATAGAAATCTTAACTACTGCTACCTTGTGCCTACTATTTGGACTTTTATCTAAGCTGCCACATTTGGTTATCCAGATTCTCTGACCTGCATACCTCACCCGTTTCCCTAGATTGTCTAGCCTGAGTTTTGATATCGTGTTTAGATGACCTCCCTGAATTTGAACTCCTGCTGGGCAGCTTCTCCTCTGATTGACCTTGAATTTGATCTCTTGCATGTTCCTCTTTGCCTCTGCTGATGCCCCTGTTCCTGATCCCCAATCCCTTTAATTCACAATACCTGCCACTTCCACATCCTGTTTTTTATAGCACTGTTGCTTAAATCCTGGCAAGATAGGCTAAATAATTTAGTTAGTTTATTAGGAAAAGTAGAAAGGAGGAATTTTAAAGCTGGAAGAGAAGACTACAGTCCAGTTTATTCATTTGACACATGAAGAAGGTTAAACGTTCAATGTTTACTCACTGAAAGGGCAATAAGTAGAGGGGCTCCTTATTTTCCCTGCTCCTTCCACTCAACCTTACCTCACTTTAGTGAAAGTAAAAATTGTAGTTGAGTAAAAATTTAAAGCAAAAGAACCGCAGTACTTACAGGATTCTCACATATATAATACATATGAAAATGATATATGTGAGAATCCTGTAAGTCTGTGTGTGCATGTGTGTGTGTGTATTTACATTTATATATTT